TGAAACTTTGGGAACTTAATCTACATGCATGTACGGGCCCCAATCCCCAAGATGGGCGGTATTACCCACGTGGAACCCACGTACGGGCCCCTGAAAGTTTTTTGTGAGTAAGCTGCTAACTGGTGAATCAGGAAAGCTAGGAAGCTGAAATTTTAAAAGGATGTTCCCCGTTCACGTATGTCTCAATGAGCTCAAAACCAGCCCTCGGGTACGCGTGGTGCTTACGTACGGGCTTACCAAAATTTTTTCCGGGTAAGTCGCTAAATCGAGGATTTGAAAAGCTAGAAGACTTTAATTTCAAGAGCATATTCCCCGTCCACCTAAGCCTCGGTGCGCTCAAACCTAGACTCGGGCTATGCGTGGTACATGGGTACAGGCCCGCCAAAATTTTCTCGGGTAATTTGTTAACTTGGGAACCTGAAAAGCTAGAAGGCTGAAATTTTAAGGGGATGTTCCCGTCCAAGTAGGTATTGATGTGTACAAACCCAGCTCTCGGGTATGCGCAGTACCCACGCACGGGCCCGTGAAAGTTTTTCGCGAACTTGGGAATTAGAAAAGCTAGAAAGCCAAAATTTACGGGGACGTTCCCTGTCCACGTAAGTCTTAATGAGCTTCAAACCAGCCCCCGCGCGTGCGTGGTGCCCGCGCACGGGCCCGCCGAAGCTTTTTTCGGGTAGGTTGCTAACTTGGATACGTGAAAAACTAGAAGACTGTAATTTTAAGAGGATTTTCTCCGTCCACGTGAGTCTTAGCGAGCTCAAACCCAGATGTCGGGTATGCGTGGTACCCACGTACGGGCCCGTGAAAGTTTTTTCCAGTAAGTTGCTAATTCAGGAACCAGGAAAGCTAGAAAGCTGAAATTTTAAGGGGATGTTTCCTAACAGTTCTGGCGGTCAGTCTTAATTTGTTTAGCAAGAAGCATTTGCCGGAAAAACCGGTGTCGGTAGCGACAAAAACTGCGACGAATTATGCAAAAAAACGCATATTCGCGCAGGCAGCCCGTGCGTTGGCCAATTATTGTAACTGCTTACTTCTTCGTGGAAATAAATAACATAAGTTTATTGACTGTATTTTCCCATTTGTCATAATCAAAATTTGCTAAAGGTGTCCAATGCTCTAGAAGAAAATCCTGGTTGCACCACTGCGCTAGCTTGTGGGCGAACCGTAAATGGAGCATCCAAATGTACTGAAACAGCGATCAGCAGCTAATCAGTTTCTGCGAAAATTTTCATTAGCCTCCTCCGAATTT